CGTGGCCGCTCGGTAGAGTCGCTTCGTTAGCGCTGCTTCGTTGGCCGCCACCCTGCCTGCACCGACACGGGTAACGCTGCGCGTCAACGTGGACCGGGCTGAGGCCTGCCCAGCTCATTGCACCCTTGTCGCTCTTGGATGTGAAATCCGCCGCTCCCCGCCCCGGGGTGGGGAGCCCCTGCTCCCTGTGGGAACCAGATGTGGTTTTGGGGCAGGGAGCATCACATCCCTGGGGCAAGCCTTCCTCGGCGTGGATCTCTGCCAGCCGGAGAGGAGGGTGGTTGAGCAGAGCAGGGTAATGGAGGTGACGGGCCGTGCTGTGCCCGCCGGCGTTTCACACGAGGGCGGTGGGAATGGAGAGCCTGGCGCCCGCTTGCTCTTGCAGCATTACAGATCTGGGAGTTGTATGTGTGCTCCAGCCTGGGAGCGGTTTTGCTTCCAGCAAACTGAGGTGGAGTGGCTTTGCGCTGTGTTTTGGCCTGGGGCCCACGCCTTGTGCAGCAGGTTCCCTTTTTGGAGGAGAGGAGACATGGTGTTTTCTGGGAGGCTGAGAGCCCCTCACACCATCACACGGAGGTGAGAGAAAGTGGTGCTCCGGGACCTGTGGTCCTGAGGAGATTCTGGGAGCGGGAGGCACGGTGATGGTGGAGGCTGGGGATGGAAGGAGCACACCTGGCCGTCCTGTCCTTCTCCTTGGAAACCAAGCTTTCTCAGCCTGCCACAGCTGCTTCTCCTCCGCTTCTCCATCCTGGCGCCTCTGTACCAGCCAGGAGTCATTCCTTCGCTCCCACCCCGTCCCCTTTCCTTCTTTGGTGTTTACATTCTTCAGATATTTGCAGGCTGTTATCACCTCGCCTGTAGCCCTTCTTCACCCTGAGCAGGCAGCTGCCTCTCCTTAACCTGCTGTTGTAAGCCAGTCCTTCCAGGCGTCACCTATGTCCCCCGCTCCTCAGGAGCCCCTCCAGGGCCTCTCCCTGGCCAGCTGCGGGGCTGAACGTATAACTGGAGGGTACGGATGTAACCAGGCAAAATTGGTGCTGCCACCTCCTGAGCCAAAGCCTCACCATCCGCAGCCCCCGCGCCGCAGGGACATGCGTTTTTCTGGGGGTGCATCCTGCTGCATCCTTGCATCTCCGGCACACAGATCTCTCGCAGCAGTTCGACTTTCCTGG